TCAAACTGATGATGCACAAAATGGTTTTACACACCACTTGTCAAGTGTGAATAATAAATGCAAAAAAATAATATCAAGAGATGGAGAGACACAGACAATTTATAGTGGTTCGATCAGCTCGACCTACGTCCACTCTTCAATTACTCTGATTACCGAGTATTTTATTAACTCAAGGATGTGGGGAGCAGAAAGTACAAGCTTTGAGGGAGAGGAGAAAGTCTCCCTCATAACATATTTGGGTAAGATATTAGTAAGTAGTTGACTAGTTTTTTGGATCTGGCGAGCTCTTCTCAACGTGCTAGACAGTTGCGGTGCTCTCTATGAGATTTGGTCAAAGGATGAGGTGGGGTGTTGACCATCTCCAGGGCAGTGAGGATAGGGTTTGGATGACCTTGCTTGCTCCCTTAACTCCTTGAGCTGTTGAGCTTGATCGGACTGACCACACTGATGAGCTTGGCCAGGTAGAGTTGATGAGCTTGAACAGGTTGAGCTGATGAGCTTGACCGAGTTGGCCACACTGGACTGGATTTATTGAATCTCTTGGAGCCGGACTATGAACTTGAACTGGGCTTATAACATGAGTTGGGCCTTTGGGTTTGACCCTATCAATATACATATGATTCTTCTCCAACTCTATAATGACAAAATTTGACTATTTTGGGGTAAAAAATTAATTATTTATTATGAAGTAATATATTGATTTGGAGAAGAAAAAAAAAAGAGAAAATTATCACCGATGGTTATGTCACACCGATATGGGTTACGGGTCTTCACTCTTCCTGTTCCATCATTAATTGAGGGTACATTTGGTAACGTTTTCGTTTTTATGTTTTTTTTTATAAAAAAAAAAGAACTAAGTTTAATTTTTTTTTTGTGATAAAAATTAAAAATATAAAACATATTTGGTAGTCATTTATATTTAAAAAAATGTTAAAAAAAAAATAAAAAATTTGTTTGATATTATATCAAAAATTTACCACCCAAACCCCACTAACCACCAAAAACCCACCACTCAACCCTACTGGCCATCCAAAACCACCACCCAATCCAACCCCCGTAACCACCGAAATCCACCCCCACAACACCGAAAACTCACCTCTAATCCAACTCTTACCATCGAAACCCACAGCAGAAACTCACAGTAAAACCATCAGCGAAGAGTGAGAGAGAGAGACATAGTCGTGAGAGAAAGAGAGTCGAGACAGACCAAAGATGGGGTTTTTATATACTAAAGCAAAAAAATCCACTTTTTTTTGCTAAGGAGAATCGAAGTCAGAATCTTATTAAATGAGAGACCACCATCGTGCGTGTGTTTTTTTTGGATATTTTCAAAACATAATTTTGGATATTTTCATATTTTAGCTTTATTTTTAAAATAGAGATGTTAAAAAAAAACAAAAATATTCACTAAAAATATTTTTATTTTTTTAGCCATAAAATAAAAACAAAAACGAACGTCACCTGATATTTCCGATTGTATTTTTTTTTTATAAAATTCTATACAACACTTCCCACGCGTCTATGTGAGCCCAACAATTTCTCTCTCTCTCTCTCTACACCTAATAACTTCCTACTCCTCCCTCTATGCGATTCGCTCAGACACCTTGAGACTCTTGTCAGGGAGCTTGGGACATTTCTCTCTTCTGTTTCTCTCTCCAACAGAGCCATGTCTCCAAGCAGCTCTAATGTATGAACTCCTTCTCTCTTTCTCTCTATCTATCTATCTATATATATATATATATACACGTACATACACACATGTATATATTTGCATATGCATAAATTTTGGTGTTGAATTTCCATGTTATTCTGAAATATGTATATACTTGAAATTTTCAATGCAATTACTGATCAATGATTGTCGAAAATTTAGGCTTTTATTCTCTCTCATCTCTCTTTAGCTGAAATTGTTTACTGATTTGACTTTTAATTTGATTTTTACAATGGCTCGGAATTTCATGTAAATGGTGTTCCCTTTTCATTTGTTGGTCTTTTTTTATTGGTTCCTTATATAACTTCATGGGGTTTCTTATCTTTTGCTTGTCTCTCTTTGTGCATTGCAAGTAAAGTTTATAGCAGGGCTTAGAGTAAGCAGAAACGTAGTTAAAAATAATTATTTAGTATTTATTAGAAGATTTGGTTGTTAAATGCAGCTAAGTAAGACAAGATCAGATCCCTTGAAGTGGATAATATGAAGATGATATTCGTGGGTTTTATTATTTAATGGCAATGTTTAGTGTGAAAGGATGATGCAGAAGGTTGTGTTATCTATTTAAATGGAATTGCTTGAAATACTATATATGGAATGTGTAAAATTATTCTTGTGAGTAACTTTTAATGCTCACCGATAATTCTTTTAGCGTGGTAATTTGCCTGCATGACATAGTTATTGAGCAAACAAATTTGAATATTGAAATTGCAGATATTTGTTTTGTAAAGTAATGAATCCATGGATGTCTTTGAGATTTTCCTAGAAAATTCTGAAACCTAGACATTTTCCAGTTTCAAGTTGGCATCTGGCTCTTAAGGATATGAGCCATGATCATCTTTTATCTATCTAAAAAATAAATTTATTGAAATATAAATGGAACAGTAATAAACTTTTCAAAACCACCAGTTATAGATGTGCTTTGCAAATGATTTGGTGAGCGTCGAGAGCTTTCCTTAGACTTAAAAAAAATGAGGCGTTAACAAAATAATAATTTCTGATCGGCCTGTGTAATCACTTTCACCTGGTATTCTGTTTCTTTATACTGAACTTGCACTTTTTATGGCTCCACTTGAGTTTTTTACGATAATGGAACATTAAGATTTAGTACATTCTTAATGATTAAAAAGAATGAATAGGACTTTGTTTACCATAGAGATGCTGGTGCATAGTGTTGTCTGACTGAGGACAATCGGAATGAAACCTTTACTAACCAAAGGATGAGTAGTACTAAATGTGGCAAAGAAATGGGAGAAGACTGCAGTGGGAGGGTTAACTCAATTTATAGGGGTTGTAACTTTGCCCATGATTTGGAAAACCATTAAAGAAATATGTACCAAATTTGAAATACTGTTACTACTTTGTATTTATTATGATAATATCATGAAGCTGTTGGAAGTGATGGAAATAAGTATAGGTACTCTTAGTTTCTTATTTCCATGTGACCCAATCAGTTCACAATATCTGGTTGAAATACTCAATAAATTGAGAAAGATATAATATCTTGATTGAGGATTAAAATTGATATGGGGGACAGATATAATTTTCAGATTTTTTGTTGGATCTCATCTTGATTGATACCAATCAAATAGATAAATCTTTCCTTTTTTCCCCTCCATCTCAAGATATTGTGATGTATATTGATTTTTGGAGAAATGGACAGATCCTTTACTATCCTCTGCATTGCAGCGTTTGGTCTATCAGTCTTGTGCTCACATTTATTTTTTGCCTTTTAGTTATATTATAATGACTCTTTGACACATGTAATGCTGTGATCCATTTTTTTGAAACATACTAACACACGCACATACATGCTTGATTTTTGCCTTTATTTATTTCGTTCCTGGCTTTCTAGTCAACCTCATTTGTTCCACTCAACTTTAACCTAGAAAATGAAGAAAAAATGAAGAAAAAGACACGAGACATAGCAAAAATATGAATGCAACTAAAGATGTGTTATAATGTAACTTTGACACTGGTGATAATGTGTTCCATTGCTTTAAAGGCGCACATGCAGATGAATGCGCAAACAGAAAAAAATCTTACATGTTTATTTTTTGTCGTCATTTGTTTTGTTATCAATGCCACTTGTTTCTCTTAAATCACCACTTTGAGAAAAAAAAGGGAAAAGAAAAAATGACACAACATATGAAGGAACATTAAAGAATTAAAAGCTATTTCTTTTCTTGTTTCAATTTGTCTCGGTTACAAAGGCATGACATGTGCTTCTACGGCTACTAGAATGGCCAAATTGGATGGGTAAGAGTTTGTAATGTGAATGGTTTAATCTTTTAAAGGTCAACGAATAACAATGATATTGATCAAATTGATTTGTTGGATGGGAAAAATGTGTTATTACACTAGATACCCAACCTGACATATTGCGTATCAAGTAGCAATTTGTGTGTTCTAGTCCATTTCGTGTATTTCTAAGTTTCAATAAATATCTCAACAGTTTATACTTTTTTTTTGTCTTCTTCACGGTTATGGTAAGTGATACTTATATCAGTATTTTAGTTTGATGTCTGTGCATAGTTGTAAATGATAGCTGATATTAAATCATTGTGAAGTTGGTTCCTATATATTTTAATTGATGGATTTGATTTCATGTGCATCTGATATTGATTTGTTGACTTCATAATTGGAAAAAGGAGTTTAAAATGAGGGCGATATAAACTATAATAGTCACGTATGAGAAATCATAGTTGTCATCATTTATATGTTATTATAACGGAATAATTACCCATGCTTCATCAAATTTTGAGGGCTAATTTCACTTTACCCTTTGGATTTCAAAAGTTGAGCTTTTCAAAAGAATATCAACCAGGTGTGTCCTAAAAATCAGGATCAGGCACCGTTGGTTTCCATCTATGAATACAGTCATGTGCCACACAGGTGATGTGAGATAATCTTTCATATGACAAAGTGCCATTATGATGTCTTCATAGACAGAAAGCCGAAGGCTGTCTGATTTTTCGGGCAGAATGCCCCAACTTTGAGAAATTAAGGGCACAATTTGAGACTTTTATCTTTCAAGTGGCAAAGTGAAATTTCTAAATTCTTTGAGGGAAAAAGTGAAATTACACCATATTTTAATTTGCAAAATTTTAAATTTTACGTTGGGTTTCTTTGGTATATTTGTACTCTATTTCTCTGATTTATTTTTTTATCTGGCCCCTGCAAATTGTGTTAGTGTTGAATCATGTAATTAATGGTCCAAAAATGAACAGTTATACATGTTTTGTGAATGAAATCATTCCCTCCATTTTGTATCCACTTTTCAAAACAATAAATGATCATGAAAAGTGAACCTTCTGCTCTGCCTTATCTGGCCTGGTTTGAACTTGAAGTATGTTTAAAACCTTTGAAGGAGAGGGGAAAGGATATTTTTAGCGCTCCTCAACCCAGTCAACTAATTTAAAACAAGGAGTTTTGGTTTGAGTGACCTAGGGCTTGAATTTTCAATCCATACAAGCATTTCTGCTACATTTCATATGTTTATCTCTTTGTCATGCTTATTGCCTGATATGCCTCTTGGTAACAGGGAAATGCAAGTGTTGCACCACAGGAGAATGGGTTTATGGATTCGCTTTCTCTCTTGAACTCTGAGAAGGCAGTGCAGGAACTTATTCAGGAGCCACATGTTAACGGGATTGATGATCATCTTATAGAGTTCTCAGAGGCTATGAGAAGTATGATAATGTTTTGATACTGGAAATAGCTCACATTTGAAACTATCTGCTGTAGTCAGAGTCTTGAGTACATGTGCTTATGTTTATATTATCCTACTCATTTTAGCTGTTGCAAAGGCATTAAGACGAGCTGCTGAAGGGAAGGCTTCTGCCCAAGCTGAGGCTGCAGAATGGAAACGGAAATATGAACTAGAGAGGGCACGGAATCTGCAGTTTGAGCATGAAGGTTGTAAAGAGCAAAAAATGTGAATTAATTTTACTATACTCATTTGCCGAGTCATACATTCAAAATCAGGAGAGCTGCATCCATGACAATAATATCTTCTTCATATGGTTGCTTGATTTTGGTGCATCTTTCCTGACTTGTTTGTCTTAGGAATAAAATATCATTCTTTTTCATAGGGAAACTAGGGAGAAAGAAAAAAAAATGAAATAATAACCTTTGAATCTACGCAACTTGAATCATATAAAAAAAGATAATGTCCAAGATTCGCTTTCCGAAGAAACGTCTATTAAAGTGATTAGCCTATTCAAAAATGCTGTTTTTTGAAAGCCAATGTGTTCTTTATTTTCTCAAAGAGAATGCTATTTGGTGAGCTCTCTTTTTTTCCACAGCAATTATCTACTGCAAATGCCATAATGGGTGCTGTTTGAACATTGTGCTTGCAGACTCATCTATCACAATTCTCTTAGAGGTGCATACATTAATTCTTTCATGCTGTCTGCCATTAATCTTTGTTTAGGCACATTACATCTTTAGATGTTGTCAGCATGTGTTTTCTGAAGATTTTGGTTCTAGTTTTTTCCTCTTGTAATGTCTTTAACTTCAAGCTAATTCCTCTTCTGGATTGGTATATTTCTGGGACTTCTTTGTAGAAGACTGGAACATCTTTGGCTCTTTATGTCGTGCAGTGATGCTATATTGCTCTGTGCGTTTCCTCAACAATTTCTTTTAATAAGGTGTTACATCTGGCTATGATATTCTTATCTTTCATGCCTGTCTTTATCTTAACATGCTCCTTTTGGGAGTGCCCATTTTGCAATGAAGTCCAACCGTTCTTCACCGCCGTCTTAGACTTTACCCGTCAGTTTTGATTGGTGCATAATGTAGCAACTTTAGGGGCATTTCCTCACTCCAGCCAGCTTATATCTAATAAGCACACAAGTTCCTATTATAATCCTTTCGTTGAAAAATAATTTGTCAAAAAAGCCTATATGATATCTTGGACATTAACTTCTTTGCCTTGTTATTCTTAGTCAATGGTCTTCGATGTTACAAAGTCAAAATTTTGTCTAACCCTAGCTTATCATTGAACATTTTGATTTCTAATTCATGTCATTTGTCTTTAACCTAAGTTTTATTCCCTCTCTGGTTTCATATCCTAAAACTATTGTGTCTTTATCTTAAATTCTTTCTCTCTGGTTTCATATGCCAAAAGTATATATATATATCAGTATATGATGGGATCTTTTCTTATATGTACCTTGTTAGTCCATCCATGAATAATGCAACAGTATAATTAATGTCGACCCTACTGTCTGTCTGATTTTTCCCATACTAGTTACTGCTCAACCATAGATGTCAATCTTGAGAAATTGTTAACATATTTATTTGATGATTGCGTAGTAAGGTCCACATAATTTGTCCTTTTTAATTTTATAAGGAGAACTCATAAATATCCTATGAAGTCTTGCTTTTTGTTGTTATACCTTTCAATCAATTATTAAGAAGTTGTGGTCATGGTTGTTTCCCACACACGAATCCCTTCCATAATGATTTTTATATTCTTGTTCGATCTCTTAGTCTTAGGTCTTAGTATAATTGCTCTTGCCTAATTTTTTCACAGCACGAGAACAAAGGCACTTGGTGTAGTTTAAGGTACCATTTCTCTTTTGGGCTACGCATGGTAGGTTTTTTTTCTTGTTCACCTGGCATTTTCGTAGTTCTTTCGATGTTGTTGAACACATAAGTCATGAATAGTCAACAGATTTTTTAACCATATTCTTTTGCTTGTTTACTTATGAAAACTGAAAAGGAGAAAGAGTGACAAACGAAAATAAAAGGTACGTGGAATGGGGTTCCATCTAATAATGTATGCAAATAATTGCACAATCGTTTTAGCTTTTTCTCTTACCGTGAATACACTTTTCATGAGATATGTCTTTACTTCCATGTCGACAAAATTACCATGCAACTTCCTTTCCATCCGATGTACATATTTTTGATTCACAGATCTTTGTGTTCTTCTACCTTGGCCTTACATAGTGTTCCTTGTTTTTGTCTTCTTTTGTTTTATGACATCTAAAATATCCCCTAGTTTCACATCTTTGCATACTTAATCTTCACATCTAGTCTTGATGTCAACATGCCGGTTTGTTGTCACTCAAAGATGATTGGCACTCAGATACCATTTTGATTCTTATGCAAACAAAGAATCAAAAGGCGGATAAGAGAAGAGAAGAAAAGAAAGAGAAAGTGTGTTGATAACTGTAAGACAGTAAAAAAGATTAGGGTAATAGGGTTCTCCCTTGTATTCTATTATTTGTAGTAAGTCTATATACAAAGACAAAAGCACCCTTTGTGAAATGTAGAGAATAAAATGTTTCAACAATCTACTGCTAGATGTTAATTGTGTGGCTTTTGCATCGGTTTTGTGGTGGCAACTTGCCTCCTTTCATATAGTTTCTACTAGTGACTATAATTTGTTCCGAACACCAAAGTTTAGATCTAATCATTTCTTATTGAGAAAGATTTTGTGCGAATATATAAAGGCCTCAGATGAGTATACATGTGATTATTGGCACCTAAAATGAGATATTGCAAGCACCTCATATGGCGTAATTATTCAAGAAACACGTCTCTGTCTATCTTGGAGTAATGATTGCGGTTGGTTATCTAAATATCTTCTTTGTGTGTGTTTTTCTTTTCTAACGGGGGTGGGCACTTAAAATAGTTGTATTCTTTCTCTTGTCATGCTTCTGTGTGCACTGGGAATTTGTCATCATGTTTTCAAAGTTTTGATGAGTATCTTGCTACGATGCAATTTTGATGGCTTACATTACAGTGCTGTCATCTGGAGAGCATAGTGGTGATTTTGATGATGGGAGGGCAGAAAACTTGGGAGATCAACTCTTGCTGTTGAATGAGGCTGGTGAGCAATCTGAGAGGTGTTGTGGGAAGCATGGAATTTGCTCTCATGAGGTTCTTCGGGATGGAGAATCTGATTCCAATCCTATTCAAAATAAGATTGTCAGAAAGGTAATTTAGTTTAGCTCCCCCACATAACAAAGCTATTGGATCCTACATTGAAATATGCCAGTTGATCAATTACATGAAGTCTATTTAATCTCTACCACTTGTCCTGAAAATAAAAGTATCTATCTTCATTGATTAAACAATGCTGCTTCTATTTTAAACTTACAAGTCTTGGAATATTTACTACCACCTACTAATGTTCGTTGAGCTATTGCTGCCTGCTCAGTGATAAGCTGTGGACATCATGGAGGGTGATTAACCAAAACTGATGAGTTTCCAGACAGTTTTGAATAATTGCAATTTATGTTTCCTTGTACTTTTTGTTGTATCTTTTTATGTTTTGGATTGTGAAATTCCCAGTCAGAATGGTTACTGAGACTTTGTTTTTCTGAGACAGGCATCATTTAAACTATCATGGTGTTGCAAAGGTGAAAAAAGTGATCAGCATAGACATGATGTCGTCTCTTTTGAAAAGGGAAATATAACAACAGCAGAGCGCAGCAGTAACCAGGTATTGTTGCATGTCAACACAAAGTTTGTTTGTTTGGCACTAATCAGTGAGTTATATCGATGTGTGTATTTGACTAATGAAGTTGCATTAGAATTTGATTCCCTCATAATAAAATAATTATGAATAGAATTTTCAAAAGAGTTATGTGTGGTTAATTTAATTGGTGCCTCTCAGATGTTAATCAAATACTGATATCTTATTTCAGATTTCTTTGAAGTGGGAATCTCCTCCACAAACAGTTCTTATTCTGACCAAACCAAACTCAACTTCTGTTCAAGTTCTTTGTACTGAAATGATCAGGTAGGATGGTGAAATATCCTTGGTTTCCACATTCTATTTCTAACAGCAATATTCTCCTAAAGTTGCTTTCAACATAATGCTAGAGTTGAGCTCCGTATACTTTTCAAAACACTATGTTGATTGAGTGGTTTTCAAAGATTTCATATTCCTGTATGTCAAATTGCATGCAAGGTCTCTTGCATTACAGCTAAAATTGCAGGTTGATTGCTTTAGCTTCCTAAATGTTATGAATTGCAGAACTATATCACTTGTAAGATGTTGAGGTTGAACAAAAATATACCTGCTATTAAAGTTAATGGTCTATTGTTTTATTTCTGTACATGGTCTGGAAGGTTTCACTCGACACCTGTAAAAAGAAAAATTATGTGTCTAGTACGTTATGAATTTTTAGTAATTTTAAACAAAAAGCATGACCTACATTTTAATTGATGTGCTAAACATCTCAAGCTACACATATTGATGAGACAATTAACCTGAAGAACTCACCATAGTATCATTGACACGAATTATCTACATGCCTCCGTAACCAAATACTCATATATCCATATTCTGATGAACTCGTCCATGTTCTGTGAGGTAGTACTTGGCGAGAACAACATTGGTGCTGGCCTTGTGAAAAAGGGTAATTTTGACTCATAGAAATGATTAAATGTTTGAATACTGCATCCGATGCTTGCTTTGAAGGAGTTTTTGATTAATGAAGTTGGTTTTAGAAATTGTTCTTAATGTCGCTAGTACAAATAAAGCCATGTATATTGAGAGTGGATAGTCATAGTTAACAATAACATACACAATTACCATCTACCCATGCTTTGAAGATTGATTTCTGATTTGAGATGGCTGTTTAGAGGTTTTTGATGAGGCTTTGAGCTAAATGAGTTGTTCTTGGCTATCAGTGGACATCTTAACTCTTAAGTATCTTCATGGATTCATATTCTTCATATAACAGTTATCTGGCTGATTGCTAGTCAAAGATATTGAGTTTCTCATCATTATCGGTTCTGTGAATGCTGTCATTCTAGGCAGCTCTTGTCAGTTGCTTTCACATCATCTTCTCAACTCTTTCTTAAAATGCAATATTGCACAGTTCTCCTTTCATGGGATAACAAGTTCTATCTGCCTTGATCAGTTGGGAGAGAGCTGTCGGCGACCCAACATCAAGTTTCTTGGTCTGTGTTTTCCATCATAGCTTTGACTTGTATTTCTCTCTTTTTCTTCCTCCCCCATTCTCTCTCTCTCTCTCCCCCTCCGTTTTTTGGGTCTCCCTGCCATGCGTTTGGCAGCTTGAATGAGAAACATTACTCCTCTGTTTTGATGCATAGTTAAGCCATCGCATTGTATGGCCTAACAAAGTAGATTTTTTCCCACACGTTCTCCTTTCTTATTTTATATTTTCTTGTATGATCTTTACAATTGTATTTTTTGTGGTTAAAACATTATTTCTTGGCAATAATTAAATAGAATTAACGTATAGCACTACTTTGTTCACCAATTTAGGTTTTGTTAGAGATTAGCTATCCTATTATTATTATATCTCTTTCCTTATTTTAGAGATTTGTTTTTCTTCATATTTTACTTTCCTATTATGTTCTACTTTCCTTATATTGTAATTGTTTTCAATATCAATCTAATATAAATAGGTGATAGGGTGTTGGCAACACATATCCTACTTACAATATTGTTCTATAACCTCTCTTTTCTTCTCCCTCGCTTTCTTTTTCACTACCCTAATACTCAATCATTCGAATTTTAATTTGGTATCAAAGCATCGATCTAATGCGGAATTGCATTGAAAAAAATACATCAAAAACTAAAAGACAGAAAGTATTCGTTTTTAAGTTGCTAACTTCATCTTATGTTGACTAACGACATGTTGACATCAAAATAACGTCAAAAATCTAGCAATCAACACCATGTCTAGGACCGAAATTTGATGCTGATATTTATGGTGTTTTTTGATTATTTTTTCTTGAAAATTTTTGAATCGGTTTTTTCTATTTTTGAATGATTTTTGGGAAAATTGGTCCTGATTTTTCGTGCATTATGGCTGTTTTTGCTGCCTTAATTCAAACCTAATGGCTTCAATTTAGACCTCTTGGGTGTTCCTTTGGATGACCCTTGTTTGTTTGGGTTGCTTTTTGATAGTTGGAAGGTTCATCTACACTATGGGTTTCTTAGTTGAGTTGTTCAATCCTTATTTTAGGTTTCTTGAGGCTCGATTCTTATTTTGTGCCTGTTGTGAATGTGACAACCTGCACTGTCATGTGTTGAATCCCATATTAGTCATTTACATGGGAATTTTAAGTATATATATAGGAACAATGATCCCAAATAACAACTTCGTGACTAGCCCTTTCAGGGACTTCTCGTGGTTATTACATATGGTATCAAAGCCAACCTGTGCATGCAACTGTGTGGGTTTGGGGGCACTATAGTGCGGTGTTAGTTTTTAAACGGGGTTAACCATGAGTCGATCATGGTATTTGTTAAGTATAGAGAATTAACACAATATTAGAGAGAAGACAAAGAGTGGTTAAAACTTAATCTAGTTTTCATACATCACTTGTATTTATAGTTAACTCACAATAATAAGAATTACACATACACTCTTTTGTATTTACATATACTACCCTAACACTCTTAATAATTTACATATACTACCCTAATACTCTTAACACGCTCTCTCAAGCTGGACTATATATATCATATAATCCAAGCTTGGAACAAATCACTGTAACACATGTATGACTCAATACTTTGGTAAACATATCTGCAAACTGATCTTCAAATTTTACAAATGGAGTCTTAATCTCCTCAGCTACTATCTTGTCCCGAATAAAGTGACAATCAATCTCAATATGTTTGATTTTCTCGTGAAACACTGGATTGATAGCGATATGGATAGTTGCTTGGTTGTCACAGAATAACTGTAAAAGAGATTAAACTGAAAACTCAATTTCTTAGAGAAAGTATAGTAGTCAAGTCAACTCACTCGTCGTATGCGCCATTGCTCTATATTCAGCCTCAACACTGGATCTTACTACCACAGATTGTTTCTTACTTTTTCATGAGACAACGATACCTCATAGGAAAGTACAATAACCAGTGGTTGATCTCTGATCAGAAGGAGAGCCAGCCCAATCAGCATCTAAGAAACCTTCTACTCTAAGATGTCCATTAGCTCGATATAATAGTCCAAGTCCAGGAGCTTGTTTGAGATATCGCAGAATATGAGTAACTACCTCTCAATGTGGTGCTCTAGGACACCCCATGAATTGACTTACTATATTGACTGCATAGGAAATATCAGATTGAGTAATAGTGAGATAATTAAGCTTTCCAATCAATCTACGATACCAATCCAGATTCTCAAACAGTGCACCATCATCTATTAATAGTTTCTGATTCGGATCTATAGGAACATCAATCGGTCTACCACCCAGCAAACCTGTTTCATTTAGCATGTCAAGTACATATTTCTTCTGTGATAAACAAATACCTTATTTAGATCTAGCCACTTCAATTCTCAAGAAATACCTGAGTTTTTTCAAATCCTTAGTATGAAATCGATCTTGCAAGAAGAGTTTTAACTTGGCAATCCCCTCAGAGTTATTTCCAGTAATCACAATATCATCTACATAGATTACCAATAGAACATATCCAGCATCCGTCTGTTTATGAAACACAGAATGGTCTGTCTGACATTGAAGAAGACCAAACTCTAAAACTGAATACAAAAATTTCTTTAATCGACATACACTCTTACCATACTCCCCCTGAGCAGTAAACTCAGGTGACTGCTCCATATATACCTCTTCAACCAAGTCATCATGTAGGAAGATATTATTGACATCTAACTGAAACAAGGGCCAATCAAGATTAGCAGCCAAAGAAATCAAGATACGAACAGAGGAAATTTTGGCAACAAGAGAGAAAGTCTCTTCATAATCAACACCATAGGTCTGAGTAAAGCCCTTTACAATAAGTCGGGCTTTGAGACGCTTCACAGAACTATCCAGATAAAATTTAACAGTATACACCTAACGACAACCAGCAGTTCGTTTACCAGGAGATAAAGGAATGAGATCCAAGTCCTATTATGATGTAAGATATCCATCTCATCCTCTATAGCTTTTCTCTAACCCGGATCAGATAATGCATTCTGTAAATGCTTAGGAATAGATGTAATAGATAATTGAGAGGTAAAATAAAAGAAGATAGGGGACAAGACATCATATAAAACAAATTGAGCAATGAGATAATTAGTAACATATGAACAAGTACGTTTTCGAAGAGCAATAGATAAAGTGTATAAATTACCTGATGGACCAGGATTAGAAGACGACAAGGAAGATGGTACGGGCACCTCAGTCAATAGTTGAGGACGATGAGAGTATATATGAAGAGGTAAAGTAGAAAGTAACACAGTAGGCAGCGGAATATCTGAAGATGAGGGAAGAGGTGGTGGTACAAGAGATGACCCAAAGCCCAGATCAAAAAGCTGAGAAGGTGTTGAAAAATATGGAACATATTCTTCAAACGTGACATCGGCACTAGTAAAGTATGGTCATAGAGAAGGACTGCAGCAACGATACTCTTTCTGTGTGCGGGAATAACCAAGGAATACACATTTAGTAGCTCGAGGGTCAAGTTTATCAAACCTAGGACCCAAATTATGAACATAATAAACATATCCAAAAATCTTAGTAGCCAGGAAAAATAAAGGCTTACCAGAAAAAAAAGACAAAATATGGACTTTGCCCATTTAACATAGAGGATGACATACAATTAATAAGGTAACAAGCACTAAGAATAATATCACTCCAAAAATATTGTGGAATATTCATCTGGAATAACAGGGCACGTGTGACTTCTAACAAATAACAGTTCTTGCGTTCAGCAACACCGTTCTGTGGAGATGTGTAAGCACATGAAGTTTGATGAATAATGCTAGTTTTATTAAGATTGGCTAAAAAAGGATCAGATTCATATTCTCGAGCATTA